CTCATAATGACCGTACCGGGTACGAAAAGCGGTCTTTGCAATGTCTAACTCCTTGACGAAAAGAACGGGTGCTCCCCATGGTGAAACACTCGGCCGAATGAACCGAGTTTCAATAACTCCTGAATTAGAGTCTTTAGCTCTTACAATTCTTTTGGCGCCATTCGATATGGTGCTTTGGATACTGGACCGACTCCTTGAATAAGATCAATAAAGAACTCTACCTGCCAGTTAGGTGGTCCTCCTGGAAGGTTGTCCGGAAACACATCCACAAACTCACGAACAATAGGAACGTCGTGAGGTGTCCGTGCCTTCGGTTTATCATCGACAAGGCTCACAAGATAACCCTAGCAATCACCTCGTCATAACATCTTTTTGGCTTTCGCCATGGAAATAACATGAGGTAAAGAACGAGTCTTGGTGCCAAAGAAAGTAATATGATCGTCTCCCGGAAGATAAAGAATAATCTCCCGGTCATGGCATCGAATATCTGCATGGAAATAAGTTAGCCAATCCATACCGAGAATGAGGTCAAAGTCCCTCATCTCGAGAACATAAGCGTCGTTAGTCAAGATACGGCCACCGATAGAAAGGCTAAGATCAGTAGCTTTGGCATCGGTCACTATATTTCATCCCGAGGCTAAACTCACCTCGAGAGGATCGACAACGGTAATAGAATGTACTCCAATGGCATCAAGACATCGTCGTGGTATAAAAGAGTGAGTTGCTCCGGTATCAAATAAGGCGAAAACAGGAACATCGTTTAGCATAATCATCCCAAACATAGTACCTGGGTGTTGATCCGCCTCGGCCTGGTCTACAGCATAAACACGAGCCTGATGTCTACCTCGTTGCTGCTGCTGGGTGGCTTCGGGGCCTGTTGCCTGGGCTGTTGCTGTTGTGGTTGTTGTGGTGGTTGTTGTCGTAGCTGCGGTCGCTTTGGGCAGTTACTGACAAAATGTCCGGGCTGGTGACAGTAATAGCAAATGTCCTGACCGAAATGACACTCTCCATGATGAGATCGTCCACAGGTAGTGCATGGTGGAATTTGCTGCGGTTTGGCTGCATTTGGCTGTCTCGGACGGATCCTCCTATCGGTCTGGAAGCCTTTCCCCTTCCTCTTCTTGTCCTTCAGTTGTTGGGCAGCAGTTGGTTGAATGGGTGGTGCTGCGGATGATTGGGCAGGGGTAATTAGTTAAAGACGGTCATGGTTGGCCTCCATCTGAATGCTTGTGTCCCAGCTGATATCATCCAAGATGATATCATCCCAGCTGAG